ATTCCTCCTCTCACATACACCATCTTACTGAGGTGTATAGGCTGCTGTGAGTTGCCTTTTAATGCCATTGAACTCACAAAAATCTGTAAATTCCTTTGAATTAAACTCACCACCATGATCTGTCTGGAAAACCTTTACAGATCTGCCAACCTCATTCTCAGCCAAGACTTTAAAATTTTTAAAGGCTGCTAAGGCTTCTGACTTGGTCTGCAAAAAATACACCCATGTTTTGCGACTATAATCATCAACAAAGATAATAAAGTATTGTTTACCTCCATTGGATGTTGGATTTATGGGTCAACACAGATCAGAATGAACCAAATCTAGCACTTGCCTTGCTCTCCAAGATCTGTCTTTAGGAAAGCTGTCACGGTGCTGTTTACTGACCACGCAGATTTCACAAATTTCTGAAGAAGAATCAAAATGAGGAAGACCATTTACCATCTTCTTCTACTGCAAAGCTTTCAACCCACCAAAATAAAGATGTCCAAATCGGCAATGCCATAACCAAGCTGTGTCCTTTAATCTGGTAGATAAACATGACAGATTTGTGGTCTGCAAGTATAATGGAAACAATCTATTTCCTGTCATCTTGACCTTTGCAATCAGGTCAAGCTTTGAATCACGAATTTGGCAAACTCCATCTTTAATAAGGATTTCATATCCTTTTTCCTAAAGCTGTCTCAAACTAAACAGATTCGACTTCAAATCTGGTACATATAGAACATTAGAAATAGTCTGAATTGAATTGTCTTTGGCACGAATGGTTATCTTTCCCTTTCCCTTGACTGCAATAGTGGAATTATCACCAAATTTCACCTTGTCTTGACAAGACTCATCCAAATCTAAAAACGTAGATTTGTCTCCACACATGTGATTGCTGCAACCAGTATCTAGATACCACACATTTTTCTTGCTGACTTCTTTAGGATGCCAGACTAGGAATAGAGAGGAATCATCATTCTTCTCATTGTGTTCTGCAAACTTGGAACTTTCTCCTCTATTTAGATTAGCACGGCACTCAGAACGATAATAGCCATACTTATGACATCTGAAGCATTCAATATTTGCCTTTCCTGCAGATTTGGATCTGTTATCTGTAGCTTGATAATTTTTGTTCTACCATCTCTTCTGAATTCCAGTGGCTGAACTTTCCTCCAATCTGTCAGATTTTGGTCTGCCAGATCTTGGTCTGCCTTTCCAGATTTCTTTTCCTCGACCTA